GGATATCCCTACCCAGATAATCAAAGTTTTTTAGTAAACCTAAAGAAACGCGTTGTCGGCAATAACAAGCTGGCATATTTCATGCAACAGTAAGCCAATAAGTTGGAAGTCCAAAACATTTCCCGTCAGTTGCATGCAAACTGTAAGAAAAATGTTTCGGCCCAAGTTTGACACGTATTTCCAATAATTTCTGATTAAGAGTTGTATTCAACAGAGGTGTAACCGACGGGCAACACATTTCCTAAAATAGCTTGTTCGTCAGTTGCATGAAAGCTGCAAGAAATTTGTTTCCGCCCAAGAAAGCCGCGTATTTTCAATAGTTTCCAGTCAACAATTGTATGCAATAGAGGTGCAACCGACGGCCAACATATTTCCCACAATAAAGAACCGAGATTGCGCGACAGTCGCCGCTACCGTTAAAGCGTTGCTCACCATTTGTTCTTTATAATTTATGGTTTGTTCTGCGAGTGTGTGTACGACGTGTTGATTAATATAAACAAGAAATTTATCAGGTATGTTTTATGCACGTAATAGTTATCTATTAGCTATAGCTATATATATGTATAAAAGAGCACTTTTTGTATATATATAGCACTGTTAAAATAATGCAGAACAAATTCGATGATTTGTAAAATCACCGGGCGGAATAAAAATCGATACGGTGAATCCCCGAATATATGCTTAAAATTGTTTCTTTCTTTTAGATCTAAAATTGATCAATTTTGATATATGTACCTGTATCCATATGGAAAAATCTAAAAATCCTTTGAAAATAATAAAGAAATACAAAAAAGAAACCAAGACGTAAGTAAATTTTTAAATAATTTGTTATATTGAAGTGAAACTTCTTTCGGCATAGTACCTAAATAGAGGCTATATGTAGGATATTTTGAAAATGTAGTATTATAATTTTATAAGGGTTTTTATTCAAATAACATTCATTTATTTAAAATTTCAGAAGCTATTATAATAGCGGTAATTTTAAATTAATTAATTAATGTAATATCTTTTTTGTATACAAAAATTTGTTATACTACAACAAATTTTTATAAAGTACGCCTTACCAGTGGTAAGTTACCACCCTTGTAAAATTTGCATTTTTGAACCGATTTTTAACACTACCAGTTTTTACCGCTCTTAAATACAGGGTGTACCAGCTAGGCATTTTTTAATTTTTTGATAATCAAAAAAGTGACGTAAATAAACACATTTAGTGGATATTTTAATAGAACCAAATGTTTCACAAGAAACGACTAAATTTACCATAGTGTAGGTGGTAGTCTAATAAACATGTGCATAAAAAATTATCAAATTATTAATTAAAATCTGACTGAAAAAAATGTTATTTAACCATAAATAATTAAATTATCAATGACTACTGTCACTTTCATTGTCAAAGTCTCTGATTTACTAGCTTTTTATTGCTTATCAAAAGTAATATGGCTTATTCTTTAAAAAAAATTAAAAATTATCCCAGCTGGGACAGGCCTGTATTTAAATTTATCGCTCTTAATTAAGAGCGATAAAAGTGGTAGTGTGCACACAAAATTTTTAAAAGTACCCATGGTTTTAAGTGATCCAGAAAAGGAATCCGTTGTTAATTTTGCTCTAAAAAATCCCCAATAGTACTTTTCAAATTTTCGACCCCAAAAAGAGATCACGGTTGGCCATAAGTTTAGAAGTCAAAACATGTACATTTCAAGTGACATATGCGTTTAAAGCATTTTTCAGCGGGCCATCCCGCGTACATGTATTGGTGCACCAATCACAGCGAAGTAATAAAGCTTACACTGAGGTTAACTCACTAACCGCCAAGCGTTAATAAATTATTTTTATTTTTCAGATTGATTATGGGGGCTTTATAGGTGGTGATACCTTAAAAGAACACATTCATAAACTGTTCAAGAAGTTTATCTCTGACCAGATATGCACCCAATATACATGGGGAGGATGAGCAAGGCAATCATCTGGTCTTGTTAGGGCTATTTTTGGTATGTTAAATAATGTTTTATACAAACTAAACATATGTTTATTGCTAAACATATATTTATTGCAGGATCTGTGGGTACCAATAAAAACTTTGATCCACCAACGCGTGTTGAACTTCAAAGAAAGGTAACGGCGAGTGGCAAAACAGCGTCAACGTAATACCGCTAAAGCCTGATTTATAGATTTCCTTCCTTCCTTCCTTCCTTCCTTCCTTCCTTCCTTCCTTCCTTCCTTCCTCCCATAAAAGATGAACAATACGAAAATCGTAGTGCCATTTATAGATTTCCGTACGGGAATCTTTAAACAGCACAACGGTTTTTGTATTGTTCATCTTCAACGGGAGGAAGGAAGAAAGGAAGGCAATCTATAAATCAGGCTTAAGCGTCGAGATCCAAACGTAAACAATGAAGATTCCATAAGGCTGCGCCTGTTTGAAGCCGATAATTTATATAATAATAATTAAGGTTATATTGTTGCGTATATAAATATTTATAATATTTTATTTCTTTGTAATAAAACGACGTTTGAAAAAATTCGAGTATGAAAATTTACGCCTAACCCTCTTGTTAAAATAACAATACCAATAAATGAGGCATTACTGAATTTGGTGGCAATTTGCCGATAACGTATCGGAAATTAAAATGTAAATGAAGCATTTGGAACCAGAGTGGCCTAACCCACAAATGTTTTTCTTAACATGTGTTAACAATCATTTTAGGACAATATATTTATATATTACGGTGCTTTTTTTCGGAAATGAAAAACTTTGTTAATAAAAGCACCCAAATATATATATACATATATATATATTGTCCTAAAATTATAACCCCATTTTAGAATAAATGTTTGTGGGTAAGGCCACTCTGGTTCTCAACGCTTCATTTATTTATTTATTTTAATTTCTGATTCGTTATCGGCAAATTACCACCAAATTCAGTGAATTTGAATAGGTAAATCATTTCCTATCCGTTGCCCACAATCAGTATACGCAAAAGGTTTCCCGTCTGTTGCCGGTGGGTTGCACACTATAAGTTGTCAGGAAACATTTCCGCTTAAATACTCTTATGTTGTCCACAATAATTATAAGCAAAAGGTTTCCCGTCGGTTGCCGGTGGATTGCACACAATATGTTGTTAGAAAATATTTTTGTCTACAGACAGTCAAATGGTGGCACCCACTTGACAGCAAACGGCTACCATATCAACAGAACGAATAGTAGGCAACTGACCGGCAAACGGAAGGACGCTGGTTATCTGGTTATAGAACAACCATAAATCCCAACTATGGGTCCTATACATACCAATACACCCTATAGAAACACCATTCCAATACAAATATGTATTAGTTTGAACATGGTCTCTATGGGGTATTTTAAGCAGGGTAACAAGCAATAAATTAAAAATAACCTAAATACAGAAAAGTCAATAAACCCCTATAAAGAGCAATTATTATAGCATTATACTGATGACAAATTATTGGATTACACAATGTGGGGTAAAATAATTTGTGTATATATGGATATATATACAGATATATCTGTTTACTATATTTCCAGCTTATTAAAATAATGACTGTCTAAATATGGTTGAATTTTACTTCAAGTCAGCTGCATATTATGAACAACTCGACGTGGACGGCAATACTTCGGTACAAGTTAACGATTTCGCAGTGGGGCAAATAATTTGTGGATAGTTATTTCCCATTTTTTTCCTACTTTTCAGCCTACTAAAATAACGACTGGCAGAACCTTCTATGAAGTCAGTTCTGACAATAAAGGACAAGACATAGACCACAAGTAGGAAAGATAGGCCCCTATTTCAAAATCACTACTCCCCAACTCCAAACAGTAATCCCAAATGTCCGTAGTAGTAATGTCCCAGCCAAGGTGGGTTCCGTTTTGTACACAGATTTGAGTCGGTATAATTGCCCTCCAAACACCAAAAGGTCTATCCCCCCTCCCAACCTACTATAGGTATTAAAAAGGGTATAAGTATCTTAAGTTCACATTCTTAAAAAGGTCTTTAAATTCATATTACTATTTTATCTATGTACACTGAGAAAAAAATGGGACAAATAAACTGTGTACCTAATACTTTTATTTGTAGTGAATATATTGTTTATTACCTCTAAATAGTCGAAATAATAACGATAAATATACTTTAGTACAACTTTATGTGTCGGGAATAAAAATATATTTAGGATAAATAAACTGCACCCTTGTCCCATATTTAAATATTTTTTTTATTTGGGAGCAATAAACTTTTTTCTCAGTGTATGTATAAATTAAGGTGACCAACTCTCCTGAAAGAAAAACCAGAACTCTAATAAAAAATCTGTATTTTTTATAAAATGTTTACATGTATTTCTATTAACATAATAATATTATTACAAATTAAAGATGCATTTTCCTCTTTACAGAGGCATATCATTTAGAGTTTGAAATATTAAAAACAATAGATATTGCAATATTTAACTTAACAACGCGAATGTTTTTAGTGGTAGTAGTGCGAGCAGGGTTGCACAATTGGGCGAAAAATCTGGCAAAGTGGAAAATATAATTTTATGTTTATGGCTTAATTAGTATTGTAGGTATTGTAGGTATATGTATACATACCTATGGGTATGAAAACAGAAAAAAACAGAAAAGATTTTGAAAAACAGAACTTTTACTTTACTTAATTTACAACCAGAACATGGTTCTCAAAAACAGTATAGTTCTGGTTAAATCAGAACAGTTGGTCACCTTAGTATAAATATTCTAAAGATATTTATATCTAGTAAAGTAAACACAAGTTAATCTATTGAATGTTGACAATATTAGGACAAAAAAATCCAAAATAAGTATATCACTGAAAAATAAAATAAAACCAACTTCAACACCCTGTATACAGATACATCTTAGTAAGGAGGCACATTTCAGTGTTTCAAGTGTTTAAATCTTCATATTTTGGGCTCAGAATTCTTTAGTTAGTTGTTATTAATGAAACACCCTATATACCTAGTATACTTACAACTTTATCAACGGCAGCAAATGTGATTTTCTTTATTGCTTTTTGAATTAGACCATCTTCTTTGTTGATCGGCTTAGCATCTAAAGTCGATATATATCTATTTAATATAATATTATTGTTATATTTTAGGTTTAGGTTTTTTCCACTCAATGCAATTTTAATAGCATTTTGCTGTTGATATAACTAAAAAAAAACTTTGTACACAATTCCATTTTAATTAAAATCTTACCTTGTTTAGTCTTAGCAAAGAGGGAAATCGGCATATATTCATATTTAATGGATTTGTCAATAACACGGTCTTATATACCTATAAGACCGTGGTCAATAATCAAAGTTTTATAAAAGTAACCTTAATTTGACAAACTAAGGTTAGGTTAAAACCCCATCTCTGAAATGAATAAAAAACTAAAACATATTAGAGTCGTTCCTGTTACCAAAAGAATGATACTTGGTTATTGTGTGGATTGTGGGCCACAATTTGTTTTTTACGGTTCTCTGGTGATAATAATTTAAAACTAAGCTCTTATTAAACTACATTGTAATTGTTTTAAAGACTGTAAATAAACTGTAAATGTTTAATATGTACCTAAAGATTATAATCTCTTTAAAGGAATTGTACACCCAATCTGATCGTATTTAAGGCAGTTTGCACTAACAAATTCTTCAGCGCAATAAATTAAAGTGATTTATTTTAAGTAAAGCTTTAGTTTAATTCATCTTTCGCGTTGCAACCAGATATACCTATATCTCTGGTTGCAACGCATATGTGCACATACGCATGGCCATGGCAATGAAGGCTCATTGGTTGTGGCATTTTCATATAGGAGAATGTGTGATGTTATATTTTATACATTTATTTTAAAACATTTTTTTGTATAATGTGGTATCTATCTGACATTATTAATACCTATATAGTTATAATTTTACCTAAGAACAACTCTTCCAATATTCAGTGGATGGAAATGGTGGCACGGCGATCTATAGAAGGTTCGTAAAATATTTGATTACAACATTAATAATTTAATAGGAATTAATTTTACTTATTAATTTGATAGAACGGAATGTTTTAAATCTATTCACAAGTTTTTTTGGATTTAGCAATCGCAACTCGTTTAGTAAATCAAGGGAGAGACAATGAAGTTTTGACCTTCTGACCAATATTGAAAATTATTTTTCCTATTATAAAAGTATTGCAAAGAAGTCTTTTAAAACCATATTATTAATAATAAAGTAGTATTTCGTTTCACAATTTGAATTTAAATAAAATATTATTTTCTTTTTAAACATATGCTTAAAATGTTTATACATTTTGACACTGGCAGTTTTGGTTTGTACACCTAATTTTCCTAATTTATCAAGTTAATTAAACATGTTACTTTAAAATAATTATAACTGTGTTTATTATTATTCTTTGCTTACAAGCCTAATTAGTTAAGTATTCATTTAGAAAGTTGATGAGCAAAAAATAGTTTTAATGGTTTTTAGGTAAATGTCAATTTATCAAAATTCATGCTGGATTGCTATTATATTAGTTAGTACCTACTGAAAATGTCCAGTAAAGGTGCTAAAAGCAAGAAGAAGCCCATAGAAACCACACTGGGGAAAGCCTCCAACAAAAATGAAATGGATGTGGCACTTCTTAAAAAACCCATTGAAACCAATGTTAATGGACTTCAACAGGCCATACTATTACTTAATAATGCTACCCTCGAGGTATACCTTTAATTACACTTAAAATGAGGTTTCTTATGGTTTTAATATATTTTAGGTCAAAAACTACATATCCTATGAATGTGACATAATGTATGAATGTAAAGTTTGCAAGTCAATTTTTAGAAGTTTAGCAAATTTTATTCTACATAAAAGAAAGTTTTGTTCAGATCAATATTATGATTTTAGTAATGACAGTACTTTGGTAAGATATTTTATCATTATAATGTAGGTATACTGTAAAAATTTTATATTTTATCTTTATATAGGTATCATCTATAGATATATCTGTACCTCAGAGCCATCAGGAGTTAAGTCCAAAAAGTTAATTATGCGCGGCGGCCATTTAAAGATGAACCGGTGTTTTATTTTACTATATAACTAACAAATGTACATTACAATTTTCCAATAAATGTACATTAATTGAAAAATTGTAAGTGTGTAGTAAAATAAAACACCGGCTCATCTTGAAATGGCCGTCACGCATAATTAACTTTTTGTACTTAACTCCTGATGGCTCTGAGGTACAGATATATTATATCATTTTATTTTATCATCTATACTATAATAGCGTAGATATAATAATTTTAACTCAATGTTATTAATATTTTAGAGTGAACATGGAGAAAATAATAATGACCCTATTCACTTGGATATTTCTTCTAATAAATCCAAAGATACCTCCAAAGACTTGACACCTATAATAAAAAAACTACATGAGAAGCAAAAGATCATGGAAATGGAATGTTCCACAATCAATGAGGATCTGACTGATCAAATAGATTCTGTACAAGAAGAAAGAGTGAATTTAAAGGATCAGAAAATCCATTTAGAACCAATTGATGACAATCCCACAGCTGTTTTTCAAACAATGATAAACAGTCTTAAATCGAGTGATGGTAAAAGCTTTATAAAAACTGAAGTTATGGAAATTCACAGTATACTGGACAACAATGAGGCTGTCTTGGGATCAGACGGAAAAATCTGCAACTTTAATAAAGAAAAATCTAATCTAAGTAATAATTTAGTTTGCATTAAATGCCAAATGCGATTTTCAACGAAAAAAACGCTTAGATATCATATTAAATACAAACACAACAAAACGAGGATGGTTTTTATTTGCCCGGAATGCAAGCAGAGCTTTGCAAATGCCTGGGGCGTGTACCGCCACCTTTACAAGGTGCACCGTAAGTCGATTGCGCAGGTGCGCAAGATGCGAAATCAGATCAATTCGTCGATGGTGCGCAGAGATCAGGAACCCGTTCAAAAGCCGGACAAAAATTTAAGCGAAGATATCGAGAAGGATGTTAATGATTCTGAAAACCAAGTAAATAATGATGTTAATTATCTTGCGAAAATTAGAAATAGCATTTTTTGGTGAAAGTTTTTTTTATCATTTTAAAGAACGTTTAAAAAGTTATACTTAGTATGACCTAGGTTGCACAATATTATTCTTATAATAGTTTCTTATCTCTGATTAACTTATTTGGAAAAAACTATTAAGCTAATTCGCTAATCGCAAAACCTATTTTATATAAATGCAAATTTCGGTTTACGAATTGCGACTATTTTATATGTGAATTGGAGTTTATTTTGAATTCGAGTATTATGGATAAAAAATATTAAATTTGATTAATAAAATTGCGTAAACAAGTAAAATAGCCGACGGGACGCTCGTTTATTTGATGGCTACGCAAGCCAAAATCTCTTAAGTTTTCCGCACACCAGATTTTAAATCAAAATCATATGAACCAATGAGAACATTATTCGAAATTCGCATCTATATAAAAACAGGCTTTATACCAATCTTAAAAATAATAAAAATAAAAAAAAATGTGACGCGCTTCGTGAAAAGAGACCTAGGCGTCCAAAAATCGATTTATCCTTATAGATTAATTAAAGACTGCTCTATACTTATCTGAAGTCATAATACAACAACGCGTTAAACATTCTCGTTTGTGTGCTTCCGTGTAGCGCGCTAGCCCCTTATTTCTTTTTTCCTCCAAAATTATGATTATAAGTTAGCATTAATATCGTACAGATTAATTCAAGACTGCTCTTTAATTATCTTAAGTCAATAATAATTTTCGTTAAGTGTTTGCATGTAACAACGCGTTAAACATATCTTTAACGGATATTTGTTTGTGCTGCTATCTAGCGTGCTCTCCTGTTATTTCCTTTATATTTTAAAATTACCGCAGGAACGCTCTTTTCTCGGAGCGCGGCATATACTATAATTGCTATTTTTATAACCTACAGTAGCTAACATATTTTTTTTTAGTGGATGAGCAATTTCGAAGGCGACAATGACTTACAAATGTGCGGAGGATGCGGCAAAAGGTTTGAACGTAAAGCTGCTCTACATTCCCATTCTCAGATGTGCCTAAAACGTATTACAATCTGTCAAAATATTAAGGATAACATTAAAAAGAAGGAACATGAACTGGAAAAGGAATTAAAAGCTAAGAAACTTCAAAAATTGAATTCGGTCAAAGGATCAGCCAAAAGAAAGCCTAATTTAATAAGAACATACAAGCAAAGTAAAAAACAAAATGAGACTGATAAAGATATCAATGAAAATGTTGGCAATAAAGCTGAGGTTCAAAAAGAACCAGACAAAAACGAAGAAGTGGATAAAACGGAAATAAAACCACTCAGTCCAAAAGGAACTCAATTTGTAGGTTTTAGCCAAGAAGTGAATGATGGCTTGCCAAAAATTATTTTAGAATTGGCTCAAGACGCTCCTAAAACCTTGGGTGCAGACTTTAAAAAGGAAAAAATAAAAGTAAGCAAATCCATATTTAAATCGTTATCTGAGACTAACGTAAACGACGAATACGAAATATCCGATTTATCGTGCTCGATCTTAAATTCAATAAAAAAATCAAAGCGTATAACAACGATGAAAGAAAAAAATAAAAACAAAAAACGAACATATTCTGTCGACATAAAGACAATACCAATAGAGTGTAATAATTCGGATGAAGACAGCAACTTTTTATCCATAGCCGCTCCTTTTATGAACCAAAAAACCCTTACCTGCAAATCCTGCCAAAAAAATTTCGATTCGGAAACGCAACTTTTATGGCACATGTCGGCCCATTTTTCCTGGTTCCGTTTCCAGTGCAGTCGATGTTCGTTTGTCTCGTTTAGTAAATTCGATTGTACCGATCACGCGATTAAAAATCACGCGGTGCACCGTTCTTTGATCCCGAGTGTCGTTTTACCTATTCCGAACTGGAAGACTGTTTTAATGTCGCACGAATTTACGCCATTAACTAATAACGTAGACTGTAAGGGGAAACTTACTGACGAAATTATAAGTTTTCGTACAGATGAAATTGTTAATTCTCTGGAAAACAAAAATTGCTTTGAAGATAGTAAACACTCAGTGTCAAATTTATTTTATGACTATTGCAATATTAAAACAGACGACGATGTATGTTCAAGTGATATTTTAACAAGCCCGATTAAAAGCGAAATCATTGACATAACAGACACTGATGAAGAATCGTTTCAAGTGGAGTTGCCGCAAGAAATTTATGTCTTTGACGAAGGCACCCTATTGAATGAAGATCTTGATATTGAACGCGTTAACGGGTTTGATTCCGGCGTTTCCATAAATATTGAACAAAACGATGAGGAAGAAAGTTTTCTTCCAAAATTCGAAGCTCAAAAGGTACCCGAAGTTACGGATGATGGTGTCAAAAATAAAATCGTTCCTCCTGTTGATTTCTGTGATATTAAGTTAAAATCCAACGTATCTCATCGTCCCACAAGAAACCGTACTAAAAGCAAAACTTTATCAAGCGATTTTATCTACGATTTAAACAAAGTTCTTAAATTAAACGATGCCGCCACGCCTAGTGTAAAAGGAAAGAGGAATTCTAAACAAAAAGAAGAAGATTCAAAAACCGAAAATTCTAAAAAGAAGAAAGTTGTTTTGGGATGAACATTTGTAGTTATAGTATTTAACTTATACCTTATGGATTTTTTAATAAATGTTGTTAAATGTTTTATTTAGGTTTAAAATATTTTTCTTACAAGTAATGATGCCGTGAAAATAAAACGTTTTTCTCACGTTGGGATAACGTTGTTTTATTATAAACTTGATTCTTAAATGTTAATGCTTTCTTAAAGTTAATTAAAAAATAACGTTTTCAAATTCAAGTGTTGCCACGGCGTTTTTTGGTGCTATACCAAATAGTCTTAAAATTAAGGTAATTTAGGTATACTACTTTAGGGTATATAGGGGTATACTCAGCGTTGCCGCACTGAAATTATCAATTACCCACGCCACTATGACAGAATACCCGGTTTTACCCCCACTTTAACATGAAAATCCCCATAAAATTACCCGTCCGAATACGTGGCTTGTTTTAAAAAAAAAGAGGTCAAATTTTTATTAATAGTAAATAGGTAGGTATTAGCCTAATACTATAGTATAGTAATATATTAGGTAGGAACTTTATTAATACATAGATATGCTTACTTTATTAATAAATAGTAGATGAACCTCCTCTCAGGGATTAAGTACTTTTAGTACTTTTCCGTAAATTAGAATTTAACATTTTGTTTGATGGTTCAAATCTGACAGGACCTCCTGCCTCTTGGACCCCCTCTTTTGTGTATAATAATGCGGCGATTGTGTAGGTGTTCAGTCTGTTTCTGTTATAAATAAAATACCCGTTGACTCAGTCAACTTGACTGTCAAATTAACGTCAAGGACATGCGCAATATAAAATAAAGACGTATAGCGCCATCTATTAGGTAACTGTATAAACCCAGTCAACAAAATGGTCAAAATAAACTTTGACATTTTCATTTTCGCAGAAATAGCGTAGGTCGAATGGTTGAATTTTAATTTTAAAGTTTTATTTTTTGCTGTGGGTTCTACAATTTTTATTTTTGCAAATTTGGGTCAAAGGGTTAAAATACCCGGCAACGGCAACGCTGGGTATACTATGATTAATATTAGCTACAAATATCCGCTCATAGTTTTTTTACTGCCACACACGATACACATAAACCGGTATACCGGTGACGTCACATGGTGCGAGAGAGACAGCTATAACATGCGCATCAGCATACAATATATACAGGGTGTTCCGAAATTAGTGCACCATACTTTAACAGCAGATTCTACTATTAAAATAAGAAAAAAGACCCTATAAATATAGGTCGAGAAATGCCTCCTAAGGGAGCTACAGCCCCCGAAAAGGGGGCCCCTGAAGATGGTTTTTATCTAATATAAATAAAAAAGTAGTTAACACCCTGTCACTTAGGTACATGAAACTGTCACCTGTCTTGAATTATTCTATTTTTTACTAAACATGGCAGCCGTATTCCAAGGACCACGCGAGTCCATTTCTATGATTGTGATTTAATTGTGAATTTTTATGCCATGTAAATTAATTTTCAAATCGATTTTATGCGAAAACGGTGTATGTTATCGAAGTTCAACAAGATGACCTTTTTTATGTGCAAAACTCTAAAATTTCATAATCTGACACCAAATTCTGATACAAGATATGTACAAAAAAGTTAAGGTGGTTTTAACCCTACTTCCTATCAATCTGACCCAAACCTCATAAAATTTTTTAAATTGTTATTGTTACGTCTTATTGGTCATAAAAAGTTTAATTAATTCCCCAAATTTCACTTTTACATCTTTAACGGTTTTGGAGATATTAAATAAAAACCATCTTCAGGGGCTTTCCTTTTGGGGGCTGTAGCTCCCTTAAGAGGCATTTCTTGACCTATGTTTATAGGGACTTTTTTATTATTTTTGCACGTACAATCTGCTGTTAAAGTATTATGCTGATGCGCATGTTATAGCTGTCTCTCTCGCACCATGTGACGTCATGTGCGAACCAAAAGGTGGGTTGGAATGTTATTTGCACTGCAAATTCACGTTATATTTTAAAAATTTATAAGTATATACCCTATAGGGACGGTCTGGGCAGTGATGCCAGATATACGGATTTTTCCGTATTCTACGGAATTTCGAGTGTATTGGGAAAATATACGGATTTTTATACGGATTTTGGGGGCAATACGGATTTTATACGGATTTATAATAAATCCAAATTTTATACCTAAATTATCGCCAACTCTGTAGTTACAGCCTTTCGTTCTTTGGGGTGATTTTTTCCCCGAATATTTTTAGGTTAAAAATCTTTTTTTTTCCGGTTTTACTTATCCACAAGACTGAACTAAATACACTTATCTGTAAATTAATTAATTAATTAATTTGAGTACTGCATTTATTTCTCTAAAATTTGAAACTATTTAACTGGAGTATAAACAAATAGAAGAAAAAAAATATTTCTTAACTTCTTTTTCTCACATTTTCTATATAAAAAAGGCGAGAATAGTATATTCTGTAACAAGTTTGGAATACGTGAAATCGTCAAACTCGCCTTCGGCTCGTGTGACAAACTTTTCATTCGAGCGGAATATGCAATTCCAAACGTGTACCATAAACAATAATTTAATTAGCAGAAAGTGAAGTTTGATTTATCTAAAATTTGTTAGATATTAAACACAGAGATGTCGCCACCAGTGTTTATTCCGTCATCCGATAGAATAATTCATTCTGTAATACTCTAAGGAATATATGTCATTCCACATTAAAAAGTGATATTAGAACGGTTATATTCCATATAATTGGAGTAGAAAAAAATAATTAAAAGAATTGCCTTCTTGCTCAAGACTTAAAAATTAAATTTCCCCTAAATTAGTCTAATTATTGATAAAAAAAATTACGTAATAAGTGTAAAATGCGAAATACGGAATTATACGGATTTTTTTCCTTAATCCCCACCATACTACTAGGTCAAATACGGATATTCAGGGCTAAAAATCTGGCATCACTGGGTCTGGGTGCAATTATTAATTGTAACAAATGTTTAAGCAGTAATTAATTTCCTACCTTTCTATTATTATTTTTCGAAATAATTTTTATTTAATTAATTTAACATACTTACCCTAGTCCCAATTTTACATTTTTGTAATGTAGTTAAAAGGTAACATAAAATAAAAATGCATTTATACAGTAAATAACGCAACCAACATAACACAATATGTTTTAAAAATGTTGTCAGGCCGTTTAGAGAACAATATTTATATATAAATATAAGGTTGATGAAATGTTGTACAAGCATTTAGGGGAAAATATTTTTATAACTGTTACGCGTAAATATATCTAAAACATTCATTAATATCATGTAAATATTTTGTTCTACTCCCATGGGTGCACCTTTAAAACGCCCTTTATCGTAAATGTTTCCATGACACTAAGTGACCTTTTAAATACTAAATGTGAAAATTATTTTATTATCTCAATACAAAAGTATTAAATAGTTTCTCAACGCCAATATTTGAAAAGTTTATATGAACATTGTACTGACCTTTTAATTTCGCCGGCAGTAAACTATAACTTAAATTCGGGCACGGACTCCAATGTTAAGTGCTCATAACACATTTTCTTTACTTTCACTGTGAAAAACTGTCAATTTTCAAGAAATACATTTCGATTTATAACCTTTATAATCTGTGTTTATAAAATATAAAAATTTGACGGTGACACACAGATTCCCCTATTGTTTCATAGATGGCGCTCTATACAAATTTTTGATTTAAATCATTTTAAGATAATAATAACCCAGATAGCACAAGATGTCCTGAGGACATCCGGTTTAAATCCTTTACAGACGGTCGCGACCAGAAAACCGATGGACGTCCTGAGGCCTAGGCCTATGGACGTCCTTTATAAAGGCCTTTATAAAAGGTGATATATCAATTTGTATCTTCAACTATTGTCGCAGGCAAAAAACCGATGGACGTACTCAGGATGTCCATCGGCCCACAATCCACAATGTGTGGATTGTGCATCGGCCTAGGCCTTAGGACGTCCATAGGCCTAGGCCTCAGGACGTCCATCGGTTTTCTGGTCGCGACCCGGGTCTAAGTGAAAAAAAATTACACCTTGTTTTTTATTAAAAATACTCCTTAATCAAGCACGATAAAAGATTTTAAAAAAAAGTTGTCAATTTTTTTTCACTTATATGTCTATAGATAGACCCTTTATCCACTTAAGTGGAATTGTGTCTTTAGTTGTCAAGTATTTTTAGCAATTGCAATTTTCCATATCTCTAACTTATTTAAAAATATCTAGTAAAATTAATTAATTCATTGCATTAAAAATATCATTACAAATTTTAAAAAATTATTTTTAATTATATTATATATATTAGGTATATTATATTGTTGAATAAAAAATATCACATTGGCCAAATTAATAATTTGAATTAATAATATTATATGAGAAATGTATAATACGAATTAAAAATACCATTGGAGAAATTTCTCCACTTTAACATTTAAATTATTTAATTTGTCCTATAATATTTTTAATGCAATAAATTGTAAGAGTTTATTTCAAATTTACCGCCAAATAAACAGTTGGTATTGGAAGTAACCAGTTTAGTGACTTTAAGTTGGCAGTCTGAAATCCGCCATGTTGGCATTGTTGATAAAACAGCGTGTTCTGTGGTTTTTAGTTAGCTGAGCCACAATTGTGAGCTGAGCTAACTTAGCTCCCTGTTTAGTTAAATTTCTGTGTATTTAACCCTTTATAGGGCAGAATCCATTATTTGTTATTTTTATATTTTTTTTGGTAATACCTACCTATTTTGGATGTCTTAAGTTATTTTAATGATTATTTTGAAAATCCAACTGTTTTTTTTTTAATTTATTATGGTGGATAAAATGGAAACCACTGCCCATGAGATGATAGATGGGCGGTGGTCTAAATGCAAACCACATATTTAATTTAATCGTTTTTTTTTGCGTGTCTGAAAGGATTTTAGTTTTTTTTCAGGACCAGGTAAAATAATTACATAGTGTATGCTATAAAAAAGCAAATATTTATTTCCAAATTGTTCACTGTCATTATTCTTATCTGGAAACGGTTTTAGTAAATTTCAATTTCTCAAAGTTTCTTCATTGTTTGATTCTACCTACTCTTGTGTTTGTGAGTAAGT